CTGACCTCGAGGTTAAGGTCACCGGGAGTGAATGGTAAATTGACTGGTTCTTATTTAGCGCTTTTCTACTCTATCTGAGCACTCAAAGTACTTTACATGTAGAAAGGCTAATTTAAAACATATCCTGTTCTCAAAAACTGACATAACTATAACTCTATAGCTGGACTCAAGAAATACGTGCTTAAAGATTTTAAACATGTGACATCACCGGGTTGGTTAGTTGCTAGTAATAGACTGGCACTGTTTGTGTTAGCTAACTACTAACAAAAACAATAATTCAGGGTAAATAAAGGACACTAAAACTAAAAATCAGTTTAAGTGGATCACTTTTGTGCTGCCCTTTGCTGCAACCATGAATTTTAAGTTAAAACTAAGGATACACTATTCACTTTTCTCTGACTGTTAAGCATTCAGTGGCTCTCTGTTGTCTGGCTAGTTGCAGTGAAACAGAAATTCCGCCTACCACACATATTAACCAATTTTTCCTGCAGATATGCTGATGTATTTCCTGATTGTGCTTCAGTAAAAAAAAAACACAGTTATGTTTGTGATGTGATGTGAATGTATTAATCACTAGTGTAAACTGTTTGGATCTGCTTGGGAAAAGAAAGATTGTTTTATTCCATAAAATACCACTTATCGCATCACCTGATTGCGCTGCTTTGAACACCCTGCTAGATGAGGAAAATAAGAGTTTTTGACTCTAGCTTGTTGGCCCGGTAAACCACCTGTCACCTGAATCAAACACTTCCACACTGTCCTTATTCAAAACGTTTTTTACAAACCTGAACCTTACGGCTAACAGGTGGATTTTCCCATGTCAGTGTAGCTAGTCAGACAATGAAGAACTGGGTCTGATGCTAGTTAGCTAACAGAAACTAATTCAGTTAGCTAACTGATTCTACTAATCGCATCTATCCAACCAACTTGGCGAAATCACGTTCTGTACAAGATGCCACTAAATTAAACATGTTCTAAAAACTTTGCCCACATATTTCTTAAAACATCTACAAAAACAGTGCTACATCTATGTTCGTTTTTAAGAGCAGGTCTCAATGGTATAAATTAGAAAAAAATTGAAATTCACACGTAGAAATGAAAGATTCAAGGTGGTGGTAGGGTTTCATCAGGGATTACCTCCGGGCCCCTTTGTGTTTGACTATTATGGGATTATTATTCCTCCAAAACCCCATCCCCTTGGGACTGTGGCTACGTCCACAGTCGCAAGGAACAAGAAACACAGGAACAAGGAATACAGTTCCACAGGAAAACCACCGAGTTTTTTAAATGGACTAACAATGAGGAGGAGTTGTTGCTGCGAGTAACACAAAAGTACTAAGTTGCAAAAGCGAGTGAGAATTAAAGAATTTGAAGAAAAGCTATCTGGAGCATGTACAGACTGATATCAATCTTTAATAGGGCTGTCAAAAATTGAGAGCAAACAAAACAACTGCTGTATAATGCCCTCCGCTATCTCTGTTTAATTGGTCACATAACTGCATCATGCATCTGACATGCATCATCGTTTTATAAAGTCTGCGTCCACACTGCAACACGAAAGCACCGTTTTCAAATGTATGCATTTTATAGAGCGCTTTCCATGAGTGAAAACGTTGTCTCAGTGTGGACGGGAGGCCACAAACGGAGAGAAAACTATGCGTTTTCAAACAAAAACGCATTAGTGTGGAAGTAGCCTGTGTCACCTCCCAGACCACCAAAAACAAAGCACAAATTAGCAAAAACAAAGTTTTAAACAAAAATTAAAAGACAGAATAGAATGTACAACTGCAGCAAAGAGTAAAACACTAGATTGTTAAACATTCTCTTCTGTACAGAAACAGTACAGTACAGTCCAGAAAAAGCATAAGTCAAGGTTACAATCTTATGGCCTCTGACAGTGGACAGTGGTCTGTGTTATTTAACAGTCCCATTTTTTGTAAATGGAGAGTCCTCTTCACACACTAAGGTTAATTATGGTGTTCAACAGGGTTCAGTGCTAGGATCAGTTCTTTTTACCTTAAGCTGGGCATACACTGTGCGATTTTTTTCAGTCGCGTTATTCAGCTCCTGCTCAAACTGTATGATTGACTCTCAGGGGTTAGAAGTTCGTAGAGCACAATGCAGGGTCTCACACTAGTGCCCGAGTGCTCACACTTGCGTGTGTCTAACATGAAAGTTATAACACAAAATCTGTCTCTCGCTCTCCCTCTCTGTCTTTCACTCACACATAGACACATCCACCACCACCATCAATGTTGCTAAATTGCTAATGAAAACTAGAAAATCCATTTTCTGAAGAAACTGCATTGTGATTGCTGATAGCTGAATGTTTTGAGCTGAAATGAAATAAATGCTGAATTTAAGTAAAAAATGTTTAATGAGATGAAAAATACAGAATTATTCACCTGAAAACAAAAGTGCAGAACTGCTAAAAGCTGATGTTAACACAGAAGAAGTTTGAAAGTAGTTTTGAGTCACAAAGCATCTGAATGAATATTAAAAGTTCCTATTCTTTTAATCACCAAATCACTGAAATGTGGGAGAATTCACTACAGAAAGATCAATGCTGTAAGTTTTAATAATCCAGTCAGAAAGGATGATTCTTAAAGTCATCAACTGACTCCAAATGCCCAGGTTTGAACCACCTATCTGCTAAAAACAAATCCACCAATCAAACAGAAGCCTGAATTTCATGGGCCAATCAGAATGCTTGATCCAGTTGTCCAGAACTAACTACTGATATCTGTGGAAAAACCCTGTCAAATCTGCCTCGGTGCACCTGTTGAACAATTGCTTCTAAATCCAAGACCCTAACTCCCATCAAAATCATTTTTAAAAGGTGAATATCCCGAGGACTTGTTCTACACAACAAATAGTTATGTCTATAACTTCTGTTCCCTGAAGGAGAGGAACAAGGTACAACACATAAGTATGGGATATCATGCCCTTGCGTGTCCTGCCTGAAGAAATCTTTATTCACGCCTTTAAGGCAGATGACGCGCACGGCCCCACCTGCACATATAGCCGCTGTCATCACAGTCATCCCTCAGTTCAATAGCCGCTCTTCACTGAGCCAAACTGCTCAGTGGGGCCACCTTGTGTTGTACCTCGTTCCTCTCCTTCAGGGAACAGAAGTTATAGACATAACTATTCGTTCCCTTTCAGTCGATTCACTCGGTACAACACATAAGTATGGGACATACATATACATATACACGTCCCGCAGAGCAGCCACCGAACCGGAATCAGACCAAGACATCCTTAGTGAGCGGTAGACCCAGCAGAAAAGACAGTATGAGCCACCGAAGGGGCTGTAACGTCCAACCGATAAAACCGCACAAAAGTGTGCGGTGATGCCCAACTAGCTGCCACACAAATATCAGCTACAGGCACCTCTTTAAAAAGAGCCCATAAGGTTGCCATACCCAAAGTGGAATGAGCTCTCACCCCCTGGGGCAAAGCAAGACCTCTGGTGCCGTATGCCAGTGAGATAGCTTCTATAATCCAGTGGGACAGCCTCTGTTTAGACAGACCTCTACCTCTATTTGGATTAGCGAAGCAGACAAACAGCTGGTCACATAAACGCACATTCTGAGTGCGCTCAATGTGGGTGCATAGCACATGGCCAAAAGCTCAGCAACTCAAACTACATTGAGCTATAAGATGTAGGCATGATCTTGGGAAAATAGGCAGCATTTGGACGCAATATGATCTTGTGGCCATCAGGAGAGAACTGTGTGCAGGAGGGATGCACAGACAGCGCATGAAGGTCACCCACTCGCCTTGCCGAAGCCAAAGCAAGAAGTAATGCAGTCTTATATGAAAGAAATTTCATATCCACAGACTCAATGGGTTCAAACAAAGGGCCTCCAGCACCAAAGATAAGTCCCAAGCAGGGACACTGGACTTAAGCACGGGTCTCAGCTGGTGAACCCCTTTCAGAAAACGTATGGCAAGGGGATGTGCACCTGGTGTCACCCCATCAAAGCCAATATGAC